ACTTTGGTCCAAGTAAGGCCAGACTTTTTTTATTCCTTGTTTCTCAAGTTTTTAAGTCAATTTTTTTGAGGAGGGCGAAAAAATAAATAAAATGAATTCTTTTTTTCCATTAGATTTGTGTGATTCTCAGAATTGTAAGTGAGATCATTGATTGGAGAGAAGAAATGAAATAAAATTTTATTCCATGTATAATCTTGTTTCTCATCTGTGTGAGACTTCGTTACTTTGATCATGATACTTCCATGAAAATGCAACTTGGGTTTGTTCTGCGACGGGCGCCAAAAAAATGGAGATAAAAATAATAATTTTTTAGCAATTTTTTGCACTTACAAGTCGGCGGGCGCGAGAATTACGCTGAAATAAAATTTTATTTTTATTTCATTTTCGGGTCCTGGTTATTCGGCTGGTTCGCGAAACAAGGGATAATAAAAGTCTGGCCTAAGACATAGTTGTGATACTGCTTGAGTTTAAATCATTTCCTATTTGAAATCAAATCAAAATCAAGTTTTTTATCTTGAGATCTATACTACAAAACATACTATATGATGGTTTTCTTTATTTCAGCTATACCATACACTGTTAAAATCACTACCGGCAAAGACAGTGATATGGGAACCGAAGCTAATGTCTTTATTGAAATCATAGGTAGCAAGAAACCCAAGACATCTGGTGAGTTTTTCCATGTTTTTCTGCAAAATACAGTAGATGTAAAAACATGAAATATATCATGTTCTTTACATGTATCATGTTTCATGCTCTTATATATCATGTTATGTTTCATGCTTTTATATTATGTTATTTTCATGTTCTGTTTCATGTTCTTATATATCATGTTGTTTCATGCTCTTATATATCATGTTATGTTTCATGCTCTTATATATCATGTTATGTTTCATGCTCTTATATATCATGTTATGTTTCATGCTCTTATATATCATGTTATGTTTCATGCTCTTATATATCATGTTATGTTTCATGCTCTTATATATCATGTTATGTTTCATGCTCTTATATATCATGTTATGTTTCATGCTCTTATATATCATGTTATGTTTCATGCTCTTATATATCATGTTATGTTTCATGCTCTTATATATCATGTTATGTTTCATGTCCTTATATATCATGTTATGTTTCATGCTCTTATATATCATGTTATGTTTCATGTCCTTATATATCATGTTATGTTTCATATTCTTATATATCATGTTATGTTTCATGCTCTTATATATCATGTTATGTTTCATGTTCTTATACACATGGTTCTTATATATTTCAGGTAAAATTCCTTTAGAGATTTACAACAAAAGCAAATTTGAACCCAAATCCACTGAAACATTCTCCCTAGAAGCACCTGATATGGGAGAAATCAAGAAAATTGAGGTAGGATCAGTCAAGAAAAAACATCTGTGGAATGTCTATCAAAATCTATTTTTTAAAATAGTATGTGATTGGATAAATATATATGGATTCTTATAGAAATTTATTAGACCATAGTTGGAAAGACAAGTTTCTCAGAAATATAGATTTGATGATGATATCATTTGGAATTAGGATAATGGAGCAGCAATATACTTTTATCTCGATAAGCACTTTTGTAAATTTTTGCACCATCCACAAAATTATTTTGTACCGGTAGTCTGCTCCTTTTTACATAAAATGTTGATATCCATTGACAAACCTTTTGATAAAAAACTAAAGCAATATCTAAAACTGTTCATATGGTCCAAAATATTGATGAAATTTAGTAAAAATTCTACTAAATATGAAAATTTTTGCACTCAATTTTGGGACAGAAAAATATCTCACCCTCATAGGGTTAAATCTTTGCTGAATTTTAGAGATTTTCTTTCACAAAAATTAAATTTCATGATTTCTAAAGTGTCCTACTGGAATTTTCACTGACTTACCAAATCTTGTGATTTTTTATGATTCAGCTTGGCCATGATGGTATAACCCCCAAAGATGGATGGTTTGTTGAAGACTTGGAGATTGACATGCCAACTGTTGGTAAACATTACCATTTCCCGTGTAAAAGATGGTTCTCTAAAGATAAAGACGATGGTTTGATTTCACGGACATTGTTTGTAGCAGATGCCGAGAGTGTTCAATATAAACCTAGTAAGTTTATATTTGCTGAAGACTAGTGACTGTTTGGAAATGTTCATACTGGTCAAAACTGAAAAATATATAATTGATCGGGGTTCTTGTACCTCGGTATATTTGTTACCTCCACATTCAACATTGTTTTATTTCCTTTTTTATTACAATTCAATCAGTCAGCTGTTTGGGCTATGAATGCTCACTACAAATGTAACTCTCTTGGATTTTTTCATTTCATTATGATAAGTTTAATTCCCTAACTGAAGATTTTTGGTAAAAAAAAATGTTATCAACTTCAGTGTGCTTGATGAGATGCTTTTCCCTCTGTGCATCTCAAAAATTCTTGAATTTTGTTTAATAATAATATTCTTAATTGTGATATTATAAATATCTCCTACATCAAATCCATGCCCTCAATTCACTCTGCATACTGGATGTCTTTCTTGTACTGTGGTAGATTGCTTGCGAAATGTGCATCACTAACAGTGAAGCTATATCAGCCGACAGACTGCTTCTTTGTAAATATTTATTTGCCTATTTCCATTCCTACTAAATGGCTAACATCTAATATTTTATAAAATTTCAGAAATTCCTTATGAAATGACCATTTACACGGGTGATGTTAAGAGTGCTGGTACAGACTCTAAAGTAACACTGACTGTGTTCGGTGCCAACGGGAAAGCACCAGACCTTGTGGTCGATAAAAATGGAGACAGATTTGAAAGAGGCAAAGCTGATATGATTAAGGTGAATAATTAGAATTTCATTTCATTATGATAGCTTTCATAGTTAGACACATATCAGTACTTCTCTTCTGTACATGTATGTGAGCATAATGGACCCTGTGAATCAAATCATTGTCTGATTTTGCAGTTTTTTTAGCTCCACTGTCGACTTTGTCGAGCGGAGCTTATCATATGAGTGATTGTCTGTCATTGTCCGGCGTCGTCCGGCGTCCGTGTCAATGTTTTACTTTTTCGACTTCTTCTTGAAAACTACAAGCCTGAATGCTTTGATACTTGATGTATATGTACCTTGGGTAGACCTCTCTCAGATTTGTTCATTTTGTAATGATATCTTTAGTCTCAAATTTGATGAATATTTTTGTCATTTTTGGTAAAAAGTGATATTTTGACTTCTTGTTAAAAACCGCAAGTCCAATTGCTTTGATATTACATATATAGGTACTACATGTGAACCTCTTTCAGATTTGTTCATTTTGTAATGATATCTTTAATTCTCTAATTTTGGTGAATATTTTTGTCATTTTTGGTAAAAAGTGATATTTTCGACTTCTTGTTAAAAAGCGCAAGTCCAATTGCTTTGATATTACATATATAGGTACTACATGTGGACCTCTTTCAGATTTGTTCATTTTGTAATGATATCGTCAATTCTCTAATTTTGGTGAATATTTTCGTCATTTTTGGTAAAAAGTGATATTTTCGACTTCTTGTTAAAAACGGCAAGTCCAATTTCTTTGATATTATTACATATATAGGTACTACATGTGGACCTCTCTCAGATTTGTTCATTTTGTAATGATATCTTTAATTATCTAATTTTGGTGAATATTTTTGTCATTTTTGGTAAAAAGTGATATTTTCTTCTTGTTAAAAACCACAATCATTTATGGTGAAAAATGGCATTTTTGAATTCTTGTTGAAAACAGCAAGTCCCATTGCATTGATACTATACGTATTGTTCATTTTCTAATGATATCTTTTGTTCTTTAATTGAAATGTGCATTGCTAACAGCGAAGCTATCTCAGCCGAGAGGCTGCTTGTTTTTTTTTACTCAACAAATTTTGCTTGCCACTTCAATGTGTTGGTTGTGCATGTCACCACCACATTAAAGACAATTAGATGTACAAATTTATTCAATGTCTTTACATTAATAATGTGTGCAACTTTCTCGTACGTGAAGCCTGCCCCCTATGGCGAGATATTCATCTTATTTGTTTTTATTATATTTCAGTTGGAATTAGAAGATATAGCTCCGCTGAAGAAAATCAGAATCAGTATTGATGGGAAAGGAAGTCGACCTGATTGGTATCTTGAGAAGGTTAGATTATCATTCAAATGATTCATTTCTGTGCTTTTTTTTTTTTTTTACTTCACCATTTCACCTCAAGTATGAAACTTAACCACAGTTTAACTTATTAGGGTACTTGAGAAATTGAAATAAAATTGTGTTATTACGGTACATGCTAATATTGTGTTTTAAATATGTATACTGTAAAAGGATTAATTATTCACTGGGTTTTAATTTTGCTTATTTCGCTGACTGGAAAATGTGGTAAATTAAAACCCAGTGAAAATGTAAAATTTAGCATAGAACACATTCTCTAAATGATAAAACCATGAATTTCAAACCCATTGATATGCCTGAAATGGTAATCAGCGAAATTTAAACCCAGTGAAAATTAGTCATTTTTTGTAATACAAGTACTAGTTTGTAGGGCATACCATCTACAAACCCTGCAATATGACTCATTTCACTGTTTTCTTTCTTTTCATTTAAGATATTAATGCGTAATATGGACACTGGTGACTTAACTGCATTCCACTGTGATCAATGGTTGTCAAAAAGCATGGGAGATGGAAAACTGACCAGAGAAATATCAGCTACAGTTAGAGGTGAAACATTGGTCAAAAGTAAGTTTGTGTACATTATTTAGAGTCTCTTAATGTTATACCTAGATAAACAGTGTTAGAAATTTACATTCTATATACAAACTATCGGGACTTTTAATCACATACGCGTGCCTCGGTTCCCTATATTTTAAAATTGATTTTTGAGTATGTTTTTAGCATTGACAATGCTCCGAAATTTTAACACTATCTGGGTATGAAAAAGAAAAAAAAAAGAAAATTTCACTCCGAATGCCCGTGAACCTGCATCTATACTTTGACATGAGGTTTTCATCCGATTTCAACCCAGCTGGTTGATACAAGTGATGTCATGGTCATCCTTGTTTAGAAGGTGGAATAGATGATACATACCATGATAAGTATCAATAAGATTTTGAATATTAAGTGATATCAGGTGATAACCTTTTAATCACATGACCAACTCAGATTGATAAAAAAGAGAATCAAAATTTTACAAAACTACACTTACAAATCATATGCTAATTTTTGCAAATATGACATAACTCAGTAGACATGTATTTGTAATTAACGAGCTGACAGTTATCTATAATCTGCAGAAATATTTCCCTTCTGTCGATATCTCTTCAAGATAAACTTTTCGTTGATATTATTGTAAGTTCGCGTGACTGCACCATTTATGTAATGGTTATCCAGACTGAATTCCCATATCTATGCAATAATAGTAGTACCTCTGATCAACTTGTATTTATTGCATACTGATCAAACATGAACATAAATGTTCATCAATGCCAAAAATGTACTTTGAAGTATCTGAGTCAATGAATTTCTTTATATGGTACAGTCTGATTGATTCCTGAAATAAAGCAATGATTTAAGCATATTATCTTTGATATACAATGTATATATTTTTATTATCCTTATTCACATTCCATAGTTTCCCAATCTACTAAGGAAAATTTCTTGTGGTGACAATCCATGTTTGATTTATATTTTTCCCCAGCTACGTTCTACACTGTCAATGTGAAAACCAGTAATGTACGAGGAGCTGGAACCGATTCCAATGTGTTTCTCATATTATTTGGTGAGAATGGTGATTCAGGAGAACTGGCATTGAAAGAATCTGCGACCAATAAAAATAAGTTTGAGAATAATCAGCTTGATGTGTTTAAATTTGAGATGCTGAGTCTTGGCGATCTCTTGAAATGCAGAGTCTGGCACGATAACAAAGGTTAGTTTGTCAATGTTTGAGATTGTTGGTTTTGTTTATCATATTTGCTCCTTCAGCCTTTTCACCACCAGACTTTCTTGTTCAAATTTTTCTGCACTTTTTTCTTATATTTTTCAATATTTCTGGAAATGAACCCTAATTCTGAAGCCAATAGAAAAAAATTGAGTAGATATTTGCTCCTTTATCACCAGACTTTTTTGTCCAAATTTTCCTGCACTTTTTTTCTTATATTCTTCAATATTTCTGGAAATTAACCCTTATTTTGGAGCCAATAGAACAAATTGTATCAATGTTTGGTTTTCACTCAAAAAAATGGCTATTTTTGTCCCAATCTTCTGAAGTAAACTGCAAATATAAACAGGACTATTTTCTGAATTTGTATTAAAAAGAGGGAACTGGTGGTGAAAAGGTTAGAATCAAGTAACATTTTCGTTTCTTAATGGTTGTACACCTGACTGTATCTGTTGGTTTTGATGCCGAGTTATCATGTTAGTCCAAAATATGAAGTGTATTTTAGATAATATTTTGCAATATTTTTATTTAATCATGTACAAAGGTTGGGGAGCAGCCTGGCATTTAGAATATATTGAAGTCATTGATGAGAAAACGCACGCTAATTACATGTTCCATTGCAATCGATGGTTGGCAAAGAATGAAGACGATAAACAGATCATGCGAGAACTGACCTGCAGTGGTCCTGCCACTCCGGGAAGAGAAGACGACAAAATAGGTGAGAACAAATCATATCAAGTCAAAGTTGAGACAAAATATACATTTTTGTATACAAATGACTGCAAAGATTAATGCTGTGTATTTCCATGCATCTCAAAATAGATATTCCTTAAGCCTCCCTATCACCTAAACTCTAACACTCCAGCCCCCAATGCAAATGCCCTTTCCAGAGAAGCATGCACTGGAACAATATAATTATTAGCCCAAAAAAATTCAAACACACAATCAGATTGAAAGTTGAATGTTCAAACACAATGAAAAGTATTGAAATTTTCCACAATCCGAGCAAAGTCAAACCATCAAATATTCCACATAATAGATCCCAAATAAAGCTCTTTCAATACTCTCTACTTTAAACAGAGTCACAATACAAAATGTTTCCATCACCATCACTTAAAATCATAACAAGTGAAAACTGTTCTATACTGTTTTGGTACTGTATTTGATATATGTTTGCGTACATAGAAGTATTCAGCATCCATTTCCTTTAATGAAAGATGGCTAACTGGCAGCCATTTTGTTTTTGAATGTATTCATGTCTTAAATACATTGATCATTTTTAATAATTATTATTGGTAACATGTGCACAATCTGTTTTTTTCAATCTCAAAATTGGTTGTTTTTCAGAAATATCTAAGATGTGCATTTGCCTCACTGGTGCTTACTTTTTTACAGTTGATAAATCTTTGAATCAAAGTCATTTGTAAGTTACTGAATATAATTTATGATGAATTTTCTTTATTTGTAGCTTACAACATCACCATAGTTACTGGAGACAAAAACAGTGCAGGTACACAACATAATGTGTGGGTCATCCTGGAAGGAGATAAACGATCCTCAAAAGAGTTTCTCATGGAAAATTCTGCTAAGAATAAAATATTTAGAAGGTAAGAGCACTTTCTGTAGTTTAATAACTTTCAATGACTGTCGCTCATCAAGACAGGACAGAACAGGACATTGGGATGACATAATTTTGTCCTGCTTTTATATCAGTATGTATGTGAAAGAAAAACACCATTTCTTGTATTTTATGAAAATTTCAAAGGCCACCTGCTCATCATGCCCTACAGTGCCGACAATACAAGATCAACAAACTGAGCACTAACAAATCTGGATAAAACTGCATATGTTTGACTGGAAGTGTAGAATCTAGAATTATTGTCAAAACATAAGTACTAGTCTATTAAATAATGACTGTTTCTAACTTTCAGAGGTGACACAGATGATTTCAAGTTCAATACCAGAAACGTAGGAGAGATCGATACTATCCTTTTGGGTCATCGCGAGCGATACGACTTGAAAGCCAAGGGTAGTGGACGCGATGTCGAGTGGTATTGTTACGAGATTATAGTTCAAAACACAATAAGTGGTGATAAGTAAGTACCTATGAGGGTGTATTCATGCCTTGAATTAATTTATATTAAATTGGTATGTTGATTTCAGGTCATGATCGAATCTTTGAAGTGTGTTGGTTGTTGTCATGACTACCACATTTTGCTAATTGTGTTTTCCACATGTTCTAGGTATGTATTCCCATGCAAGAGTTGGATTCCTCTCAGTGACAGTAAGAAAGGAGCAAAGAGACTTGAATGTACAAAGAAAGAGAAAGGAAGAGCTGATGTGATTAGAAGTAAGTACCCGGTACATGACACCCCAGTTGAAAAAGTATCTTTTATGTACTGGTAGGCTGACCACCACTTTATTTCACTGCATCATACCATGGTTCCACTGCATTGTACCATGGTTCCACTGCATCATACCTTGGTTCCACTGCATAAGTACCGTGGTTCCACTGCATCGTACCCTGGTTTCATTGCATCATACCGTGGTTTCACTGCATCGTACCGTGGTTCCACTACATCATACCGTGGTTTCATTGCATC